GAGTTTTTTGCAGCCTATTAAAATAACTGATGCAGCCATTTCACATTTCTGCCTTTCCATTTTCTCTGTCTCCTGCTGGCATGGCTGCAGATCCTAATCAGTCACGATTTAGCTGGACCATGTTACTTCAGGATCTAGTTGGGAAGATACCGATGGGGAAGCGGGTTAGAGCACAGATTCTTTATCGTAAAGGTACTGCTTTTGGCACAGAAAGATTCCAGACTGCAGGTTTGGGGAACTGGAAGGAGTTTCATTTTATGCCTGCCATGTTCCTGTAGTTTGTCAGAGTGTTTGGCACTGGTCAGCGCTGCTTGACGTGCTGAGAGAGATGGGAACCTGCCTTGGGGTCAGGGATGGTTTTTCTCAGCCCAGCACTTCTACAGCAAACTTACGTTTGTCCTTACTTTCCAGAAATGAGAAATCTGAGCCATTCCAGCTCACTCTGCATGTGTTGACAGCAAGCTGCCTTGCGGGGTTTTTAGTTACTCTTACTTTTTTTTCCCTCCCAATCAGATCAGATTGATGAAAACCTTAAACTGGCCTTGCAGCAAGACCTAACTACAATGGCCCCTGGACTAATTATACAGGTAATCAGGATTGCACTTTGAGATGTCTAAGGTGCAGATTGTAAGGAGGGATAAGGACCAGAAGGAAATAGGAAGCTGTGAAACTTGAGAAGACTGCTGTGTAATACAGACTTTGTTTAACTTGAGGAGTGAGAACAGTCTGCTTTCCATCCCCTCTTAGCTCTGATGTGTTGGTTTCTTCGGTGTTATTCTGGGTACTGGCTTACCCAGGTTGTAATCCCATCACGTCAGGACATCGTTCAGTCCTAGGTTTGCTCTGGAGTTCGGAGCTGCTCACAATTTCTGCAGCACGTGAGAGCTTTGTGTGGTAGAGCATGCCCTGAGTGCTCGCTCCCCATCCTCTGCAGCCTCAGGGGCCGTTTGGCTTTTGATTGTTGGCTGCTTGCCTATGTTTTCTCCTGTCTCTCTTTCCAGGCAGTTCGAGTTACAAAGCCAAACATCCCTGAAACAATCCGGAGGAATTATGAGCTCATGTAAGTGCCTGAGACTTGCACCTTTGTGTTACCAAAAGGAGTCGGTCATCCAGATTAATGTGTTTTCACAGCACGCGTTGATCGGCGTGCCCTCTGCCAGGCCCGCTCTCAGCCTCGTGCTGCCACTCAGAAGAGGTCTGGGGAGGCCGCAGCAGACGAGCACACGTCCGTCGCTCACCCTGGCTGGCGGGTCACTGCTGAGTTAGGAGCTATTTCTCCGTTTCGAACCCTTGAGCACAGAAATTATTTGCCCAGGGGCTCCTTCCTCTTGACACGGGCCCTGTTTTAAAGAGGCCTCCCAGAGTGAGTGGCAGGTGGATAGATGCCACCGCTAATCCTGTTGTTTGACTAGGATGGAGAAACTGTTGATTCAACAGGCTGAAGACTTGCAAAGCTTTGAAATAACTTTCTTTAACAGCACTTGACATACTGATCCCTTTCCAGTGCTGTGAGCCAGCTGCCTTCTCTTGCACTTGATCACTTAGAAATGCTTACATTTCTGAGCACTCTGCCAGCAGAGTCTGCCTAGGCCAGAATAAGATCCCTCTCGTCCGTTTTGCTTCCCTGGGATTTCATATGACCTTTTGGTACCGCGGCAAGTCGTGTGCGGTATGGGCACGACAGGCGGAATCCCAAATCGGCCTGGTAGCTGTTGCCATAAATACAGAAGGATATGTGTTGAGAGAGGCTTGTTCTTGACTCTGATCTCTCTTCCCTGATTTGGGAGCAGGAGCAGAGGGTTTTATTTATAAACACACTTGTTAAACCTTTGTACGTGGGTAACAGTAAGACAGAAAAGGCTTTGGCCTGTAAATGCAGAGAGCTGTTTGATTGAATGAGGGGTGAGTTCAAAGCTGTACACCTCCAAATGAAGAACAGCCGCCGGGGAGGGCAAGGCTTTTACAGGAGTTTCATTTCTTACTTTATTTACATCATTTCCTTATAAACAGTAGCCCAGAAGACTTAGATGCGTATGGTCTGGGCCCTGCCCCTTGCTGAAGGCATTACGGCAGCCTGCAGGGAGTGTTTTACACTGCCTCAATGGAAAGGTCTTCCTGCTGTGGAGGGGAGGAAGAGAGCTTTTGGTTTGGGAAAAGGAAGCTCTGCGTGTGCGGGTACATGCACCCGCTTTCCTGACTGCACGTGCTCGGAGCAGGACTGAGCCAACAGCTCATCCTGGAGATGGGGTGGGCCACCCCGCTCCAGCAAGCTCACATGATTTGTAACTGGCATCCTCTGGCTTTCAGGGAGAGTGAGAAGACAAAGCTGCTGATCGCAGCACAGAAGCAGAAGGTGGTGGAGAAGGAAGCGGAGACGGAACGGAAGAAAGCCCTCATCGGTCTGTATGTCCTTGCTCGAAGGGAGTAACTGTAGGGGGGTGTGGCGGGGGAGGCAGCAAAAAGAACCCGGACAGCGGGGAGGGAGGCACCTGGTTCCCTTCTGGGTGATCTCTGCTGCTGGCCTGAAACTTCCGGAGAATCTGGAATCTGGTGGGTTCCGGCTTTGCCCACAAACACAGGCCGATGCCTTCCGAGGGCTGAACGCTTCTTCCCACAGTTTGCTGCCACCAGAAGGAGGCAGTGAGGACTTGGATGGGCGAAGCTGCTTCTGGCATTAGGAGACCGCGTGACAACAGCATGGATGTGCTCTTTCTCGTTGGCAGAGGCAGAAAAAATCGCACAAGTTGCTGAAATAACTTATGGACAGAAAGTGATGGAAAAGGAGACGGAGAAGCGAATTTCAGAGATTGAAGGTGAGTGGTGAGCTTTCCAATAAGCACATGTTCTGTGGTGGATTCAAACGATCCTGAAACAGCTCACCGTGGAGTTAAGTAGTTCTGGAAGTGGGTATTGATGCCGTTCTTCAATCCAAGCTGGCATTCCCAGGGGCGAAGTTACTGATCTGAAGTCTTTCCTTTCAGCCCACGTGTGGTACCTTAGGTAGGGCACTGCAGTTCTGCATAAACGTGTCTGAACGCTTGGATTCTCCCAATGTTTTCACAGCCTCTTTTGCAGTGGAGTTTGCAGGGGGGCGGATCACTCAGGATAGTGGGAGGCATTCAGGATACTTGGGTTGGCCAAGTTAGTGGAGCTTGATGCCACATTCTTAGGTAATTCTTCGTAAAACATAAGAATCACAGGATGGTTTGGGTTGGAAGGGACCACCCAGTCCCACCCCCTGCCATGGGCCGGGGCACCCTTCACCAGACCAAGGTGGTT